GAAGGTACACCTTACCTCTATAGCTACGGATGTACCAATTGCACCCTTACCTTATAGAGCAAATGGATAGTATGCTCCAGTAGGATTATGTCATATTATATACTTAATAAACCCATTATATGACTCCGAGAACCAAATTTAATATTTTTTAATTTTAGTTTTATTTTAAAAATTATTGAAATTTTACGTTGTAGTTTCATTTTTATAAGAAGAAATGAATAAAAACAATAAAAAATAATGACCAAAATATATAGGGGTATTTTAATCTTTTTTATTTGAAATATCTGCAATTATTTATCCCAAAATTTTTAAAAATGATATTTAAATAAAAACAAAAAATAAACGACAATATTAATTTTGGAAAAAAGCCTATCTATTGTTGCAACCTTAAAATGTAGAAATACAAATGCACCTCAAAAATCTATCGGAAAAAATTGTCTTAACATTGAAAAACTCTCTAATTGACCATCTCAACAGCGAGATGTATGAATATGAAAATAAAGAAGGATTTTAAGTATGAGAAATAGCGTATTTTGCAACATATTATCTAAACCGTCAATGTTTAATAGTTGCATATGTTTATAGATCTACTTGACTTTAACTATTTTTAAAATTTTATAATTAAATATAAAAATAAAATTTTAAAGAATCCTAAAAAATTCTTACACCAAAATTACATGTTAAAATAAAATTTGGAAGTGCGGCTTAAATGGATTGTTTAAGGTTGCAAGTTTGCAACCTCATAGAAACCCATTAATTTTTAGCCATTACGTGTGGACTTACGAAATCTCCGATATCCCGATGATGTGGACGGAACACCTCTCCTTGTCGAGAACAATCGGGAGCTGGAGGCCTGGACTAAGATAAATTATATTTACATTTAGTTTTACCAGTTCTCATCGCCATTGCGTCGTGTAGAGTTTAGAAATTGAAAGTTAGAAAGAAGATGAGCGGGAAGGTCGTGTGCGTAACTGGTGCTTCAGGCTACATTGCCTCATGGCTCGTCAAGCTCCTTTTACAGAGAGGTTACACTGTTCGAGCCACTGTTCGCGATATCAGTATGCTATTTTCCCCTGCATTTTTGTTTTTATGCCTCCTTTCTTTTTCTTAGTCGATGGATTTATCTTTCTTTGGATGATGAGAGAGAGAGCTAATATTTAGGAGTCGAAAGTGAACTGTGAATTGAATTGATTTTAGTTAACAGCTTACTCACTGAATGAACTGAATCACGATTAAATTTTTTATCATGTAAATTTTGGAATTTTCTGGCGTTTATCTGAATGAAAAAGCAAACTAGGATCTGGTCTATAGAAAGGAAGTAATAAGAAAGATCGATAGTCGAATTTTCAATGTTCATCTTTTTCTTTATTTTCTTTTTAATGATTTGGTGCGTATAGAAATCTTCAACTGGGAGAAAAGAAAAAGAAATATCAGGAATCGACTGTGAGGTGTGACTCTAATTAGTTATCAAATCAAGAAAATGTCTATCAAGGTTATCAGTATGAACTTTTTGTGGTTTGTTGCGTTCATCTAAATGTTTAGGCCTTATTTGCTTTCTTTAAGTAGGCGCAAACTAGGGTTTGTTTGTTAGAGAGGCTGATTCAGAAATATCAATTGTTTCCATCTATTCTAGTATAATAGTTTGAGGCACATATTTTTCATTTTTATCCATAATTTTGTGGTTGTCTGCTTAAATCCAACTTAGTTTAAGGTAATATATCTTGAAGTTTGTATGAAAAACATATAAGAGAGAGAGAGAAAGAGATAGAGAGATAGAGAGAAATAGATATAGATAGGGGTGCAGTTTGCATACGGACGCATCCGTAGGTGTAGAGGTAAGGTGCACCTTCAAATTTTATCATGGTATATAATTTTGATGTAAAATGTTCTTAGGATTATCTCAAATTCTATTTTTATATCTAATAATAAAATTTTAAATTTAAAAAATGGTTAAAATCAAGTATATCTATAAACAAATGAAAATTTTAAAAATGGACGGTGTAGATAATATGTTGTAAAATGCACTATTTTTTAGACTTAAAATCTTTTTATTTTTCATGGTCATACATCTCAATGTCGAGATGATCAATCAAAGGGTTTTTCAACATTAAAACTACCTTTTCCAATGGATTTTTGAGGGGCATCCGTAGTTCTACATTATAAGGTAGCATCCTTATATAAACTTTTACCTATAGATAGGGAGATGAAGTAAGAGACTTTGAAACTCTTTCTCATGTTTTTTGAGATAAGAGGAGTGGTATATCCATTGATATATTTATACACATTTACAAGATAAGTACAAAATCATGTACACTTAACAAATTGATATGGTCAACCTTAAATATCTCATTTGGGATAAAGAGGAGATGATTTGTTTGTTGTGAATGTAAGTTTGGTGGAAGGAGGTTTCACAAGTTCGTTAATATGCCCCCTCAAGCAGATTGTCCGAGTAAAGTGACAGATGGTCAACTCGTCATGAAGTATGTGAAACCTGGTAGAGTGCAGTCCTTTAGTGAATAAGTCCACCACTTGTTCATGGGTGGAGACATAGCGAACATCATGATCTTTATGAAACACTTTTTCGCGAACAAAGTGATAGTCAACCTCCACATACTTACTACGTGCATGAAAAACTGGAGTAGCAACTAAAGATAGTGTGTTGTCGCGCCAAATGATTGGTGGAGAAGGTAAAAAACGTGCAAGTCCTTGAGAAACATGCGAATCCAGACAACTCGGCAGTGGTGTGAGCCAAAGATCTGTATTCGGACTTTGTAGTTGACCTAGCAATAGTGGGTTGTTTCTTGGCACTACATGAGACAAGGTTGCTACCAAAGTGTACACAATAGCCACTTGTCGACCGACGATCATCCGGATTGCTAGTCCAATCCGCATTAGAATAAGCAACAAGTTTTAGTTGGCCTGGCAGAAAGTGAAGACCATAATCAATTGTGCCTTTAAGATACTGTAGAATATGTTTGACAACAATCCATATGTCATAGTGGGGCTGTGCATAAATTGACACACTGGATTAACGGGAAAAGCAATGTCGGGCCTTGTTATTGTTAAATATTGGAGAGCACCAACAATGCTCCGATACTTAGTACCATCAGGGAGTGGATCACCTGTGTCCTTAGATATTTTGCTACCATCGACAACAAGAGTCGTGTAAGGTTTGGCCCCACTCATTTTGGATCGTGCAAGTAAGTCCACAATATCTTTAGATTGACACAAAGAGGATCCTTTAGATGAGCAATGTCCTTTGATGCCCAAAAAATAATGTAAGGGCCCGAGGTCCTTCAGAGCAAAGAGGTGCCCAAGATCATGGATTAATATATTTAAGTGGATGCCACTATTGCCAGTGATAAGAATGTTGTTGACATAGATTAGAACAATGATGATAGTGCCATCGGTCAAGCGGACAAATAGAGAAGTGTCGGCATTAGATCCCACTAACCCGAGACCAATAAGATACTGTGTGAACCTCTCAAACCAGGCTCGGGGAGCCTGTTTGAGACCATACAATGCCTTGAGAAGGCAACAAACATGCATAGGGAATCTAGGATCAATGAACTCCTACAGTTGCTGCATATATATTTCCTTAGAGAGAACCCAATGCAAAAATACATTTTGTACATCAAGTTGTCAAATTGGTCAATTATGAGTGATGCCAAGCGAGAGAACCACTTGAATGGTTGTAGGTTTGACAACTGGGCTGAATGTGTATGAGTAATCTATGCCAAGTTGCTGATGAAAACCCTTGGCTACTAGACGAGCCTTATATCTTTAAATAGTCCCATCTGCTTTATGTTTGATTTTGTATATCCATTGACCTCCAATCACATTTTGGTTAGGGTGAGGTGGTACAAGTACTCACGTTCCATTTTTAATGAGTGCATCAAATTCACTAGCCATAGCCGCCCTCCATTCTGGTAACTTCGATGCTTGAGTGTAGCATGTGGGCTCGCTAGCAGTAGTAGTCGTAGCATGGGCAACAGGCATAGGGTACAATATGGATAGGAGCACACGTTTGTGGTGTGTCCCATCTTTACTTTGGGTTATCATTGGGTGAGTGGATGGTTGCCAGGTCTGGGTTGATGATGCATTATTGGTATTTGAAGTTACAAGTGGTTGCGTAGATAAGGGTTAGAGTTAGTGATGTCAAAGGGGTCATGTTGGGTGGAAGCAATTTGTTGTAAAGAGGAGGTAGGAAGTGTCATAAGAAAGTTGTTAGGAGTAGAGTTAGTGGGAGGAGAATGTGAGGTATTAAGGAGGCTGGGTGTAGATTGAGGGGCTGTAGGGACATGCGAGGAAGCATGGACAGGTGATGGGGAAGATCCATGAGGCACATGAAGTGGGCTAATGACCACAGACGAGGTGTGACTAGTTTTTGTGTGAGGACTAGCGGAATGCAGTGGTGCAGGTTGCAAATGGGAACCGCAACTCATCAAAATATTACATGCCGAGAGAGAAAAATACGCCCCGTGGCCGGATCAAGACAATGATACCGTTGATAGTTTAAGCTATACCCGACAAAAACACATGGAATCGACCGAAAGGCCAATTTGTGGGTGTTATATGGTCGGGTATAGGGAAAACAAGTACAACCAAATGAGCGCAAAATACTATAATTAGGTGGTTGCTGGAACACTTTTTGATATGGCGAATTATTGCAAATGACTTTTGTAAGGAGTCAATTAATTAGAAAAACAACGGTGCGGAACACCTCCACCAAATATTGTTGCCGCATATGAGCATGGGCTAACAAAGAGAGCCCTGTCTCTACCACATGATGGTGTTTGTTCTCTGCAGTGCCATTTTGTTCCGGTGTGTAGGGGCATGATAAGCGATGAGCGATGCCATTAGTAGATAAAAAATGTTTGAAGCGATAGTTTGTAAATTCGCCCCCTTTATCAGATTGTAGGCTCTTAATTTTAGTTGCAAACATATTTCCACCAAATTTTTAAATGCAACAAATACATCAAAGGCATGTGATTTGAGGACCAAAGGATAAAACCAACAATATCTACTATAATCATCAATAAAAACAATATAATAACGATATCCACTTATTGGCATAACTGGGGAGGGACCCATATATATGCGTGAATAAGTTGTAATGGTTGAGAGGCAATTGATGGAGATAGACTGAATGGTAATCACTTGCTTTTACCCATTTGACAAGAAGTGCAAATGAATGAAGGTTGACGAGAAACATCCGTGGGTAGTCGTTGAGAGAGAAGGTGTTGTAAGGTACCATGTGCAGGATGGCCCAAACGATGATGCCAGGTTTGAGGAGAAACTCGTTAACTGGCGAGAGCAAAATGAGGCATGTATTTATTCGTGTGGCACGTATTTATTCGTGTGGCATGTATTTATTCGTGTGGCTATGCTTATTTCAAGAGAGTAGAGACCATTCGTACTCCGTCCTCGAAAGATGATCTTCCCCATTCGCTAGTTCTTAATAAAGAAATCAGAAGCATGGAATTCAAAGAAACAGTCATTATCAGGACTAAATTGTTGAATGGAAAGAAGGTTTTTGAAATGTCAAGTACATGTAAAATATTATTTAAGTGAAGTTTAGAGGTGGGAGAGTGCATAGTGGTGGACCCAATGTGATGGATTTTCAAACTTGTACCATTGCCGACTGCCACATGATCTGCCCCTGGATACTCCGAGCGAAGGGAAAGATTGGCTAGATTGGAGGTGATGTGGTTCATTGCCCCTATATCAGCATACCATGCGGTGTCTATTGAAGGAGCGGTAACCATGGCAGCAAGTTTTTGAGGAGGGTGTCGATCTTGGAAAGACATATGCAAATGCAATTAAGAGCGAGTGGTTCACTCGGTTACAGATCTAACATATTTGTTCACTCGGTTACAGATCTAACATATTTGTTTTTGTGTTGAAGAATGATTACTGGAAGATGAATATGAGGATGGGCTACGACCACCATGATCACGGCCTCTACCACGATGGTTTGATGATCTGTCACGATTTCTGCCATGACCTTGAAATGAATGGGATGGAGCACGGTTGGTAAGAAGGGTCGTTGCTAGCT